CGTAAGTGCGAGGGGTCGGGATGTCGAAAGCGTCTGGGTCACCCTCAGGGACTAGCAGCATGGAACAGAGATGGGGAGCAGCCTCGGACAGGAAAGCAAGCTCGAACTGGCGGTCCTCCAGGACGTCACTGCCAAGGGCAGGAGCACCCCCGACAGACGGAGGACAGGCAGGGTCAGAGACTAGAGCGGTGGCGTAGTCAAGGCGGCGGGTAGAGGCGAAGTCAGCGACCGCAGCTACAAGAGCGTCAAGGCACGAGACCGGAACAGACGGGTCGGTAACGAGAGAGGCAAGGACCCGGGGAACAAGAGGACGAGCGGCACGAAGGTAGTCAGACAACGGGGGGGGTGCAACAACAAGGGAGGACAGAGGAGGCGACAGCAGAAGGGGAGGACGAGACGCGTGGGAACGAAGAAACATAGGGTGGGAGCGCAAGACAGGGGAGGCAGGACGAGCACGGGAGGGACGGTGAGACCAGACGTGAGACGGAGGAGTCGGGTCAGGAGACAGGGGAGGGGACATAGGAGGGGAACGAGGGGGAAGACGGGCCGGGGACGAGTCCGGCGGAGGGAACACAGGGCCGTAGACGGGAAGAGGAGGAGACGGGCGGAGAGGAACAGCCGCAGGGTCAGGGGACGGAAGGCCGAGCAGGCGAAGGGCGGACACCGGCGGGGAGTGCTGCTCCGGCGGCACAACGGCGACACCGGGACTGCAAGCTGCTTCTCGGCTACCACCGGCACACTCCACACCAGCACCCCCAGAGGAACCACCCCCACGGCTACCGGTACTAGCACCCCCAGAGTCAGCAAACGGGTGCTGCGACGGCGGCGGCGGCGGCGGCAGCGACACCGACGGCTGCAGCGGCGGTAGAGGCGGTGGAGGAGGGGACTGGGGAGGGGACGCCGGTGGAGGGGCGGCCGGCGAGGACGGTGCAAGAGGGCCACCAGAGTCAGAAGACTCCTCAACCGGGTCCATCGACGAAAGGGGGGTGACGTGGGACACACCAGAGGGGGCAGGACAGGGAGGAGGAGGGGGAGGGGCAGGGACTACCGGGGAAGGAGTGACCAGGAACAGGGGGGGGGTAATCGGGGGACCGCGGTGGGGGAAGCGATGGTAGTAAGAGACGGACTCGTCAAAGGTGACGTCGCGAGACTGAAAGAAGCGGTGAGATGGCGGGTGGTAAAAGTGCCAGTCGGACGCGTCAAGGGGAAAACCGAGGAAGACGCAGGGAAGGGTGCGGGCAGTGAGCTTGTCCGTGCCGGAGGCATGGACGTTAGCAAGGCAGCCCCAGACGTGAAACGCAGACGCGTCAGCAGGAGACCCAGTCCAAAGACGGGTCGGCGAAACCTGCGGCTGCTGAGGGTGCGGCCACAAGTTAAGCTGGTGAGAAGCGTAGCGCACAGCGAACGGCCACAGAAAATGGGGTGCACCGGCATGGATCATGGACGTGCGAGCCACCTCCATGACCAAACCGATGCGTCGCTCAGCGACCCCATTCTGCTGTGGGGAGTCCGGTAGGGTGAACGTCTGGGTGATGCCCTCCGCACGACAAAAGCGACCAAGGACACCTGAGGCAAACTCGCCACCACGGTCGGAGTGAAGACGCAAGACAGGGAGACCGCGGTGGACACGCGCAGAGACAAGCCAGGGGATGAGGGCTGGGGAGGAGGGAAACGCAGGGAGAGAACCTGGGAGACCAAGGACAAGACTGTGCTGGGACATGTGACGCAGACGCGGGAGCGCAGGGTGACCTAGGCGGTGGTGCCAAAGGAGAGTCGGGTGAGTGAGGGACCAACAGGAGCAGGCAGCAGCAACCTGGGTAGACGCAGCCACCTGAGGGAGCGCTCCAGCCGGGGGGTCACGGTGTCTAGAGTGAACAGGCCGGACACCGGGTCCCGGGGGAACGTGGACAGGGGGGCACCAGTGGCGGCCTCGGTACAGACAGCATACCGCTCGTGACCAGGAGAACGTAGTGGTAACGCCAAGGTCCTGGAGGCAGCCGACACCAACTAGGTTCCTGGAGAACGAGGGGATATGCAGACCTGTGAGAGTGCCCGAAGGAACCGCCGGACAGGGAAGGGTGGTGGAACTGCGGGCGACTACCGGACCGCCGGAGGGGTCAGCAAGAGAAACGGCAGCAGGAACAGGAAGCGGCGTCAGGGTGGTGGAGTCGCGGAAGAAACACTGGGAAGCGCCAGAGTCCAAGGTGAAGGAAAGCGAAGCAGAGGCGTCTGGCGACGGAACGACGGCGGAAGCACCAAGACTACACAAAGCAGGGAATCCTACGCCTGACGCAGCAGGGGAGGCTAAGCTAGGCACACCTACACTAGCCGACAGTGGGTAATAGGCGGGAAGCACACTATAGTTATCAGCATACATCACATGCAAAGCAGAAACAATGGCATCCATGTCCATGTCAAAAATCTGAATCTTACGACTAAGCAAACTGTGCCAGTCCGAGAGGTCTGGTGACGGGCCGAAACGCTGACGAAACAGGTCGTCCAGGCGACGAAAACAGCGGGGAGTGGAGTGACCGATCTTACCGCAAACGAAGCCGCGGTGAGGACCGGTCTGGATCTGGTACTGACAACGCACGCCTCCAGAACCACCACTCGGCACACCATCACGCGCCCGACCACCGCCAGCGTCGGGCCACCCGGGCGGGAGTACACTCGGCTGCCGCGTCTGCGACGGCTGCTGCGGCTGCTGCGAAGGCTGCGGCTGCTGCGACTGCGGCGGCTGCTGCTGCTGCTGCGACTGCAAGGGCGGCGGCTCAGCTGGACTGGGCAGGGTCCCCTCGTCCGCTCCAGCACCAGACGACCCGACTCCACCACCACCCCCTCCCGCACCCCCGCCTCCTTCGCCGCGCCCAACCTTGGGGCGGCGGCCCTTCCCCGAACGAAACTGCGCTGCAGCAGCGGTCTCAGCCACAGTGGCAGAGCCGTCGGAGAAGGTACACTGAGCGGGGGCACAACCCTGAAAGATAGGGACCGGCACGGTACCACTCGCCTGGGCGATGGAGCGGTGGCGGGTCTCAATCACAGTCAGGGTGTCTACAAAGTCAGTGAGGGTGAGGTCTGCGGGGTGCATGCTAAGGAAGCGGTCGCGGGCGACAGCAAGGCGGTCAGGGAGGCGGGTGGCAAGCAGGTAAAGGGTAGAGGTAATGGGCGGCTGGTGGGCTCTAAGCTGTGCGTCAGTGCAGGCAGCGCGCCAGGTGTCATCTATCGAGCGCAGGTGGGCAGCAAGGTTAGAGACAGTGGGGAAAGACGCAAGGTCAGGAAAGAGCATCGGGAGGATCAGGCGACCCACTGAGGCAGCCGGAGGGGTGGAATAGCGCTTGATGACAGCATCTAAGTAAGCCTGGGCAGTAGTGAGGGACCTAAAGCGAGGGCGCTCGGACGGGGGAAGGGCGTTGCTAATGGCAAGCTGAGCGACAGCATCGCGAGAAAGCCAGACAGAGCGCGCACGGGCAGTGGCAGCAGTAGACTCGCGCTCAGTGGGTGCGGAGTCAGCGGGCAGAACAGCAGGGGGATCTGGGCAGGGGAGCGTACCGTCAAGGTGTGCGGAAAGCGGTTCACCATCCTGCCGCTGGCCAGTGAGTTGGCGCCGGAGGTCGGCAAGCCACGCCTCGAACTCCAGAGGCTGGCCTTCAGCGTCGAAGCGAAGCTCCGCCGCCATCAGGGGCAGTGCAGGACTGTACAGTGCGGTGCAGTGCGGTGCACTGCAGAGCAGGGCAGTGCAGTGCGGTGCCGTGCTGTGCAAGGCGAGGCAGTGCGATGCAGGGCAGTGCAGTGCAGTGCAGTGCAGGGCGGTGCAGGGCGGTGCAGTGCGATGCAGGGCAGTGCAGTGCGGTGCAGGGCGGTGCAGGGCGGTGCAGTGCGATGCAGTGCAGTGCAGTGCGGTGGAGGGCGGTGCAGGGAGGGGGGGAACCGTAACAGTGAGGATGCCGGGGCCGGGGCAGGGCGCGACAGGGCCCGGAGAGCGCGACTGGGCCGAGCGGGCGCGACGGGGCCGGGCAGGGCGCAACGGGGCCGGGCAAGTGCGACGGGGCCGGGCGGGTGCGACGGGGCCGAGCGGGCGCGACGGGGCCGGGCAGGGCGCAACGGGGCCGGGCGAGTGCGACGGGGCCGGGCGGGTGCTGCGGGTCCGGGCGGGTGCGACGGGGCCGGGCGGGCGCAACGGGGCCGGGCCGGGCGCAAAGGGGCCGGGCGGGTGCGACGGGGCCGGGCGGGTGCAACGGGGCCGGGCGGGTGCGACGGGGCCGGGCGGGCGCGACGGGGCCGGGCAGGGGGGGGCGACGGGGCCTGCAGGCGTGACGGGGCCCAGGAGGGGCGCTACAGGGCGAGGGGCGTAGCGGGGCCCGAGAGGGTCGCGACGGGGCTAGGGGGTCGCAACGGGGCCCAGGAGGGGCGCGGCAGGGCTAGGGGCACGACGGGGCCCAGGGGGGTCGCGACGGGGCTAGGGGGGTCGCGACGGGGCCCAGGAGGGGCGCGGCAGGGCTAGGGGCACGACGGGGCCCAGGGGGGGTCGCGACGGGGCTAGGGGTTCGCGACGGGGCCCAGGGGGTCGCGACGGGGCGAGGGGGGTCGCGACGGGGCCCAGGAGGTACGTGGCAGGGCTAGGGGCACGATGAGGCCCAAGGGGGGTCGCGACGGGGCTAGGGGGTCGCGACGGGGCCCAGGGGGGTCGCGACGGGGCGAGGGGGTCGCGACGGGGCCCAGGAGGGGCGCGGCAGGGCTAGGGGCACGACGAGGCCCAGGGGGGTCGCGACGGGGCTAGGGGGTCGCGACGGGGCCCATGGGGGAGGCGCGGCGGGGCCTAGCTAGGTGACAAGCGGAAGCGGTAGGTGGGGGATCCTAACCTACGCGTGATACCATATCAGAATGAGAGAAGTGAATGATGACTAGTGGGAGAGTACAGATGGATATACCTAAGTATTGTACCCTCTAAGAGGTGACCCTATACAATCTATGCAAACATAACTAATACACATGTTATTTCATAACTAATACACATGTTATTTTAAAGCATGAACGTTTTGGGCCACAGGCTTTAACAATGACATCAGGCGTTAAGCCACCCTGGAGAACCCTGATGAACCTGGAGTATATGTGCGGATGGTGGCATCCTAGGAAGGCACATGGCTGTATCTGGAAAGCCATACGGTACATGCAAATTCTCGCTATGGAAAATCATGCTTCCATCCCAGCGGCCACTCTCGGGCTTCACGTCAGTTGTTCCTCCAAGCTCAAATAAGTTAGTTGAGGCAAGCATGTTCGGGTCGATGCCAGGAGCAACCGTGGCATGCAAAGAAGCCCCATCACCTCCTGGAGCATCATCAGCCGTGCTGGGCCAAGGAACAGGCGCCGGGCTCATGAGATCTGGAGAAGGGATACGGGACTCCCACGGAAAGGCAGGGCGTGGTTGTAAGTGCGACGGGGCAGCAGGCATGCAGTATGGTGAAGGGATTAATGGCTTGTGCAGCAAGGCAGGGCTTGGTCGTATGTGTGAGCCCCTGGGGATTGCGGGCATGTACTGTGCGCCTGGAGGGTTAGTACTGGTTGCGCCAAGGGCCAGTGGCTGTTGGGAAAGAGCAGACAGGAGAAGCGCCTGTGACGGCGCGAGCGCGAACGCCTGTTCCAATGCCTGTGACGGTGCCAGTGCCAATGCCTGTTCTAGAGGCAGTGGCTCTGGCAGTGGTTGTGGCCGTGGCAGTGGCCATGGTAGTGGCAGTGGTTGTGGTTCTGCCAGTGGCTCTTGCAGTGGTTGTGGCAGTCGCTCTTGCAGTGGTTGTGGCAGTGGCAGTGGCAGTGGCAGTGGTTGTGATTGTGGTTGTGGCAGTGGCTCTGGCAGTGGCTCTGACAGTGGTTGTGGCAGTGGCAGTGGCCGTGGCAGTGGCAGTGGTTGTGGTTGTGCCAGTGGCTCTGGCAGTGGAAGGTGCGAAAGCAGCGAGGGAATGCGCACGAGCTCCAGACGCTGATGACCTTTCAGCTGCTGCTGCTGGCACCTCTGCGGTGGACTTACTCCTTCCACACTCACTCCTTGTCCCACCGGGTGTTCATGCCTGTGCACCTGAACATCCCCCACCCCCGTCCCCCCTTGTTCCAGCAACCACTCTGGCAGCACTGGCTCGGGAAGGCAGGCTGCGAGAGGCTGTCCCTGAGGCTCAGTGGCCAAGTGCACATGGGGAACACACTCAGCCAGACACAGGTGAGAGGCACGCGCGTACAGAAGCAGAGGGTCGATTTCATGCACCGCGCTGCATGAGCCCTTGGACGGAACCAGCTCATGTCCCACAGAGCCATTCTCAAAGGAGAGCACCCCTCCTAAGAAGCTGCTTATATCCCCGGGAACAGAACCAGTCAGAGCCGCAGGGTCGATCTCTGGCGCCATGCTGCATGGGCCCATGGCCGGGACCAGCTCCTGTCCCACAGAGCCATTCTCAAAGGATAGCGGCCCTCCAAAGCAGCTGCTTATAGTCCCGGGAACAGAACCAGACAGATCTGAGAGTTGGTTGAGCAGAGGCGCTGGCAGTGCTGCCTGTGGCTGCGTGGAGAGAGTGGCTGGCAGTTGTGCTGGCAGTGGAGCTGGCAGGGGTGCTAGCAGTGGTGCTGGCAGTGGTGCATGCGGCACGCTGTAGCGAGGGCCCTCGCAGCTGGATCCCAGCAGCACATCGTCTGGAAGGGCGCTCTCCGACGCCACGCGAGGCCACACCGCTGAGTGCACATGGCTCCTCTCCCCACCCTGCTGCAGGAGACGGCCGTCCAAGGACTGCGAGTGGCGCAGTGTGCGGTGGGCCCACCCAATCCCAGCCAGACCCCGCAGGGATTGGCTCACCATAAGCCCGCCGCAGTCACCCCTTGCTCGCTTCATGGGCAACTTGAGGGCAGCAGCCGCATTCGAAAACGCTGCATCGATCAACCCAGCACTGGAGACTGCAGCGGCATTGGGGAAAGAAGCAGCACCGGAAACTGCAGCAGCCACAGCAGAGGAGGTGCAAGAAGCGGCACTGGAGACAGCAGCACCAGTGGAGGTGGGAGCAACTGGGACAGCAGCAGCGGTGGAGAACGCAGCGGCATGGGAAGCAGTATCAGGGACGAAGGCTGATGAGGGGTCTGCTTGTGTTGTGGAGAGAACCGCGGCATGGGAAGCAGCAGCAGCGCTGAAGGCAGACACGAGGCTCGCGTGGGCTGTTGGGCGGTGTGCATTGGGTGAGAGGAAGACGCTCCTGCACTCATCAAACGACAGCCCACCGAAAGTAAGAGCAGGCGATGGCGACCAGGGTGAACCCACGCCAGCCTGCTGCTGCTGCTGCTGCTGCTGCTGCTGCTGCTGCTGCTGCTGCTGCTGCTGCTGCTGGCCATCACGCCTCAGCAGCAACTGGCTGTGCGCGTCCAAGGCTATGTGTTGGGGGAATGCAGCGCCTCCCAGATGCAGTCTCAGGAGATTCTCCTGAAAGCGTTGCACGAACTTCCTGCCACCAAGCAGAGAGACACGGCCACAGAAGAGGGGGCTCAGAAAAGGCTCAGCCCCGGCGGAACGCGAAGTAATAGAAAGGAACGTGGCCTGCTGAGTTACCTTCTGAGGAAGATGTAGCGGTTACAGCACGACTTGTTGTTTCTCTTCAGCTGACCGCTCCTCCCCAACTCCCCCCACTGCCTCGTGCCGCAAGGCAGCACATGGCGCAGCAGAACCGCGTCCTCCTGCCACGGTGATTGTTTCGTAGGGAATGATGAGGAAAATTGTTGAGTGAGTGTGGAAGCAATGGCGACGCTGAGACTGCCGGGGAAACAACATTGAGCCAAGGACGTTGAGCCCCCGAGGACGTTGAGCCCCCGAGGACGTTGAGCCCCCGAGGACGTTGAGCCCCCGAGGAGTTTGAGCCCCGAGCATGGCCGTGAGCATCGCATTTGAAGGTACAGGGCGAAAGAGCGTATCTTGAGACACAGGGAGCGCGTGTCTGAGGCGCGTTCAACGCGTGTTGAGGCGCGTTCAACGCGTCTCGAGGCGCAGTCAGCGTGTCTGAGGCACATCGAGCAGCTATTTCTAGGCGAAAGGCATCTCCTGGCAGGAGGATAAAATCCGGCGGATCTGACAACAAAGGCTCAGCTGCTCGCAATGAACTTCTCCGAGAAGTCCGCGGGTGACATTGTATCGACGTGAAATTTGAGTTGACTCAAATAGAACCGCTCGTGAGAGCTTCACCTTGCAGATGTGCATTCCACGGGACTACCGGGCTGAGCGGGACTCACCTCTGCGGACCACGGCTTGACGGCAAGCGACGAGGATTGCGATTCGGACGGCGAAGCGATCCGTTGTGAGGAATGCGGCATGGCGGCTCCAGTACGAAGAAGTTAGGTGATTACCCTACTAGCACGGCATCGCAAGAAAATCAGCCACCTCGGGAGGAATGAAAGTTGCTGAGAGCAGACGCGGATCTTGCATCGATAGCTAGCACTTGGCTTCTCGGGTTGAAGTTTTGGCCTTGAGTGGCCGTCTGACGGTACCACCGGCCAACACAGTCTGGGCACTGCTCTATGCTTGACGCAGTGTCGGGAACGGCAGAACATGGGGAGAGATGGCAGGCTGCCACATGGACGAAACAACCTGAGGCCCAGTGGCGACAGTTAGCGGCAGTGAACGAATGCCAGCCTAGTCGCATGCTCCACTTGGCAATCTGCTAACTACAAATCGCGATCTCTCGCCCCCGCATCTGCGGTCGTACCAAAACATTATGAGCGGCACGTGAAATGATAGTCCTTTTCGGCCATTCTAAGAAACGACTTCCGTTTCCGTCAATGTCCTCTGCGAAGTGAGGACAAACGAGGAACAGCTCTTGGCTGCCGTTGCCAGCTCAATTCTGTCAATAGTCCAGATCCACAAAATGGAGAAAAGAAATACTTCCAGTCCGTTCGTGAGTAGTTTCCTCACCTGCTCCAGGAACAACGAATGACACAGTCAAGAAAAATGTACGCCCCCTTTGACAAAAAAGTCACCCCGCATAATTGTGGTGCAACATGTATCTTACATTGTTTGTAGGGCGTACACCTAGCCTGCGGTAATTTTACATCCTGAAACTGGGCGGCAGAATAATTCTTCTCTATCGTGACCATTTCTGAGTATGTAGACAGTACCCCCTTGTCCCGACGGCCTAAGCTTGGCAGACTCAACGCGGGCAAAAACTGTGAGCACTGCCTAAGCTGACGTCGGGTTTCCTGACTCGAGAAACACTAAATCGAGCAGTAAACTTTTCGTATAGAAACCCAAGTTCAAATTGTTTTCAAGGGTATCCAGGTCTGGTCTTCAGGAGCTGCTTTCGGGGGGTGAACACCCGCTTGGCGGCTTTCCCTGTGAAAATACTGGGTGCAAAAATACCGCGTGCTAGGTGTACTTTTATATGCTCGCTTTGCGTGTCACAATACCTGACACCAGATTTTCGTTTTCGCGAAACCATGTCTCAAATTAACGACCCATTCTCCCGTGGTGAAGTCTCGCGAAAAACGTGCGCGCATACGCCCACGCGGCTTGTCCAAATCATGGGCCACTGGTGCGCACCCGGTGCTGCTCGTCGTTCATAAAGGCCGAGGCCACCCCAAATCCGGGACACACTAATAAAAACGGAGCAGCGAGTGTTTTTGTTCACTGCGCGCCCAGCTGTCAGCGCCAACTGTCAGCGCTCAGCTGAGTTGACCTTGGAAGCAGCATTATCATTTCATGCCATGTGGTGGACCACTCACATGTGAGCGAGCACCAAGTGTCACGCTGTGCTCTCGTTTCTTCTGTGTCATGTTGGACCACAGGAAGATATACCTGATTTTGGATACTAAATAATCCTTTACAAGAGACCAACTTTCTACAGTAGAGGTTGTAATTTCTCTCTGCATATATCACCCTACGTACAAAAGCAACTACCACATGCTCAGCGTGCATTGGTTAGGGTAGCATAAGAAAAACTCAGTCCAGCCTCAGGAGCATATGCTGGGATGGGGGCATGTCATCCCATAATGAAGCATTAATACACGTATGAAAAGCTATATGGTTCATACGGAATGCTATTCTGTCTGCTTTCAAATTACAGTTGCTAATCACGGTTTCCGCAAAAAATACTACCTGTGTTGGCAAAGCACCCGTTATGTTAAGCATCAGAGCAAGCATGTGGTTCATAGGAACTTGCATGCAAGGGTCATATACGATAACGCACTTTGCACCTTGGGCATTGTTAGTGAAGCCCAAGGCTCTGGTTGACGACAATGGGGAGATGGCAAAGAGGCCATGACTGCGGTTGAAGTGGTGGGCGGGGCTAAGGCAATAAGGGAATATGCGCATATGCAAACCACTCAAGATTGTTCACCTGATAATGCGGCTGTACAAATAAATCCCTAACACCCCCCCAAATCCATCCCCAACGCCATCCTTCTTAAAGACATCAAATTCTTGGACTTTGAACTATCCCTAAAAGAATTCGACATCGGAGTACTGACTGAAATGGTGGAAACACTAAATCCATATATTATCGAAACTCGCCGCCGGGGAGACGCCTAAACTAGAATCATCAGACGAGGGCTTCACAAGACGGTCATTCTTCGCCAAATAAAATTGACGCGAAATTTCAGCCGAGCATCCTCGTGCTTGCACGTTGACCCACTTACTCCGCAGCTTTCCGCCGCCTCCGCAAAGGGCGAATGCGCCCACGCGCTCGGCGGAACATGGGCTGCGAGGGGGCTTGATGGGGTTGAAGGGGTGAAGGTGATGGGGTTGCCTTGGCTGCTTTGGCTGCTTTTGTCGATTGTTGAGTTGGCCACCGATTTTACGACGGTACTGGCGGGCGGGATTGTCGCGACCTCCTTCTGCTCGTCGCACGTTGCAAACGACGCCGCACAAGCGTCAAACGCCGCATGTCGCTGGCCTGCAACGTCCTTTAAGAAACGACACGAATAGGAAAAGCCTAAGGGAGGTTAGGCCCGACGAATAGGAAAGGCTAAGGGTTGTATACACCTGACGTCCAGTGAACTGTCCATTCATTAGATGCCATGCGTCTATCTACAGGCTCATTAGTCCTAATACACGGGCAACGGCCCAATCAACACAAGCCCAAATATCTGCAACAGTTACCACATCTGATACGGAGACCTCCTAACGTGCAGACAGGACGTTCTCAAACCTTACACTGTTGCCCGAGGAACGCAAAATAAACAACAATGGTCACCCGCTTTAGACTGGAAAATGCCAACGAGGTAACCAGACTACCCTATACTGGCCCAATTCGCCCGTCAAAGCTAGGCGCTCCTCTGGACAACCGACCGAAAAACAACTGGGCCTGAAAAACGAATTCATGTGTACTGTACATGTAAGTATCACAAGCACTCAATCTCCTGCCATGTCACCGCATCCATGCTCCTAATTGAGCACAGGGGTCGGCACCTGCGCCCCGAAGGAAGTCCCGCCATGCCGCCATGCCAGACGCTAGCAACAGAGGTACACGTGAGGTTCGGAGAATCAGGAATCGGGACCGCGCAGAACGCCATTGGCAGCAATTGTAAGCTTACGACGCGGCAAGGAACTGGTGTGGTGGTTATCTCAACGACTGCAATCTGGATGGTCAAGGCAAGGAGGAACTAATTATGGCTGCTTGCGCATGCGCTGCTTGGTTTAGCTGGCGCCAGCGGAGCAGCAAACGAGGCTGATGATGTCAGCTCTACAGAATGCACACGCGTGAAGGGTTGGCTTGGAGGCACTGTAAGGATATCACCACCATCTAGGTGTGATAAATTACTTGTAACTCTCCTTACCCAAGCCTTCATTTATTAACTCACTACTAAGTTCGAAACTCAAGGTGGGTACAAGAACGTAGGATGAAGACAAATTGCGATGGAATCTCATGGGGGGGAGCGTACGCACCAGTTCAACTGCAAATTCACGGGGTTGATAGAAAAACTAACAATATTCACGGTTCTAATAGGGACTAGATGTCAGAATGTCGAGAGGAAAAATGACTAAGGGAGGAAGGCTGATGGTTACACAGGTGGGAATGTACCCTCTAAGAACTGACCTAACTAAGGCTATAACAAATATACTGTACCTAGCATAGACAAGTATATTTATTGACACACCCCCTAGCCAAAATAGTAGCAGTTCATAACAAAGAAAGGTACACCAGGGCAGCACTACTAGTCCGACCTCTAATGAGTGTAATAAGAAAACTCAGGGCAGTACTACTAGTCTGACCACTGAGACAAGAGGCCACAAGGCCAATCAGCAAGTGTAGCAAGACAAACAGGTATAACATGACAAGTACAGGCAGGTATAGTATGACTCAGGATACAAGGAGAGGTGCTGCTACTGAGGCTAGACCAAGCTGAGTACAGAACCGCTGATGGTCACGAGAAGCAAATGCCTTGGTGAAGATATAAGCGATGTTGGCCTCTAAGGCCAACTGTACTACACGGACCTGACCGCGCTATTGCAACACCCGCAGCAGGAAGTATCACAGCTGGATGTGCTTCGCCCTGCCCTCAAGTCGTGCCTCATGACACAAGAGGATCATGGCCTTGTTGTCAGCAAACAGGACCGGCGCAGACCTAGGCTGCTCACCTAAGTCAGTAAGCAAGAACGACAGCCAGCAGAGCTCTTGAGCGGCCATGGCCTCAGCGTAGGTCTCAGCCTCACAGCTGGACTGAGCTACAGACGACGACCTGGTGGACCTCCACGAGACTGCACCAGCACCAAGACTAAAGCAGTAGCCTTGAGTCGACCTGAGCGTCTCCAAGTCGTCTACCCACGACGCGTCTGTATGTCCAGTGAGCACCACTGGCTCTCGTCCTCCTAGCACAAGCCCCAGTCGTGATGTGCTCGCAAGATACCACAGTACCCTCTTGACAGCCGACCAGTGGACTGGTCGGTGCCTGCCTGTCGCAACAAAGCGAGCCAAGAGACCAAGAGAGTACGCTAGATCTGGTCGAGTGCAGGTCATCAGGTACATGAGGCACCCCACCAGCTCTGTGTATGGACCACTAGCCTCGACCGGCTAAGCCGGAACAGGAGCAGAGAGCTTGTGATCCATAGGCAGGAAGGTGGGCTGTGCTGAGGAGAACTGGAGATTAAACTTCTGGAGGATCTGCTGCACTATATGGGACTGGGAGAGTGTGATCGTGCGAGCGGCACAGTCACGAGAGACCTCCAAGCCCAGATAGCACCTAACCTCCCCCAAGTCTGTACAGGTGTGTCTCCTAAGTAACTCGGCCTTCACTGAGGCCAGTGCGACTCTGTCGGGAGTAGCAAAGATAAGATCGTCAACGTACACTAGAATGTAGAATGGTATCTGACCCGTGCGAACAAAGAGAGAGGGGTCAGCAAAGGACGGAAAGAACTGCAGCTCAGCAAGAATGGTACGACGCGTGTTGTGCCACTGACAGGGTGCTTGATGAAGGCCGTAGACAGAACGGCGCAGGCTCGACAAGGTCCCAGGTGGGAAGGACCCAGAGAAGCCTAGAGGGCGCCGGAGGTAGATTTGCACGTGCAGACTACCCTGCAGGTACGCTGTGGAGAAGTCGAGTGAGTGAAGCTCGTAATCACGCTGTGCGGCTATGTTAAGAAGGACCCAAAGAGTAGTCATCTTCGGGGTCGGGGAGAAGTTCTGGAAGAAGCCCACACCCTCACGCTGACTGAAGCCTCTAGCCACGTAACGTGCCTTGAACTTCGGCGGCTCTAACCCTGTAGATACACATGCCATCGACTGCGTTCGCCCCAGGCGGGGGAACTGCGTCGACGTAGGGACCAGTGGATCTGTAGAATGCCATCCCTGTCTCCATGGCCTGTATCCACTGGCTGTTCAGGGCCCCGACACCGCCTCAGCGTAAGAGCACGGAACAGGGATGTCGAGAG